ACTTGCACATATCGCATGAACGAAACGAATCCAACAACATACTGATACTTGTTGAAGAAAGAGGGGATGCCTTCCGGGGCATCCCCAAGCTTAGACACTTGAGTCTCCTTGAATATTTACTTGGGGTGCCTCGGGCATCCCCAAGCTTGAGCTCTTGCCTCTCTTCCTTTTCCTCATATCGAGACATCCTCGATTAGACACTTCATCCACACAAAACTTCAATAGAAAACTCAGTAAGATCCGTTAGTATAATAAAGCAAATCACTACTCCAAGTACTGTTGCAAACCAATTAATATTTTGTTTTTGCATTTTTTCTACTGTAATATAACTTTTTCATGGCTTACATCCACTGATATAAATTGATAGATTCATCAAAACAAGCAAACTATGCATCAAAAACAGAATCTGTCAAAACAGAATAGTCTGTAGAAATCTGAACATTCACAATACTTCTACTACCCCAAAAATTCTACCAAAATTAGGAAAAATAAACAATTTGTATGTAAAGACAGTGCAAAAAGAATAAGAACCGTTTGATGTTCCAGTGAAAAATATAAAAACGCACACTACAGCCAAAGTTTCTGTCCTGCACCGTACAAACCAACAAGCATTGTAAACATCCTAAAGGCAAACCTTGGCAGATTATTTTTATAATACAATGGAATTGTACAAGGGGATAATTAGTTTTTATGAAAATTTTCTGTAATTAAGATTCACAAAGTTTCCGTGAGCATGAACAAAGTTCAAGGAGCTCTCTCACTTCAACAATGCTTGTCTCTCCCACTTTCACTTTCCTTTTTGAAAACTTTTGGGTTCCCATCTTTATTTATTTTTTGTTTTTAAACTATATAAAAGCACTCAACAGAAATAAATGACTCTCTAAAACTTTTGGGTTGTCTCCCAGGCAGCGTTTTCTTTAATGCCATTAAGCTAGGCATATAGTGCTCAAGTAACGGATCCACCCGGATCCCAAGGTATATCAAAGCTAATTTTAATTAACAATGATTTATAATTTAGTGTTGAGCACAAATTAACATATATCAAGCAATAACAAAGTCTAACTCTCTTCCTAGGCATTGGCATGTCATAAAAGAACAATTCATGCACACCAAGTAAAGGTCAATGCATAGTATAAGCAGTTTCTTGCAATTTTATCATATTGGAAACATTGAGAGGTGGAGATATAGTTCCTCTCTCATAACAATTGTAAGTAGGAGCAGCAAGCACATGCATATTATATCTATCAAAATCATCATGTGTAACCGTAAAATGCAACCCATCAACATAATCCTTAATAAGAGAAAACTTCTCCGATATAGTGTAGTTTGGAGAATTCAAAATAATAATAGGACTATCATGCGTGGGTGCAATAGCAACAATTTCATGTTTAACATAAGGAACTATAGCAAAATGACCTATATACTAGAAGATGGGCACCGGAGGTGGGCCTGGGTAAGCACAACCCACCAGGGCGCGCCTTGGTTGCCTGGCGCGCGCAGGTGGGTTGTGCCCACCTGGTGGGCCCTCTCTAATAGTTATTTGCTCCAATAATTCTCATATATTCCATAAAAAATCCTCGTGAAGTTACAGTTCATTTGGAGTTGTGCAGAATAGGTAGCCTGACGTAGCTTTTCTAGGTCCAGATTTTCAGCTGCCGGAATTCTTTCTCTTGGTGTATACGTTGCAAATTATGAGAGAACAAGCATTAGAATTACTCCAAAAAGCATTATTATAGATAAAAACTTTATAAATAATAGTAAAAAAACATAATGCAAAATGAACGTATCAGTGCGCGTAGTTGCCATCGCCAGAGAACAACATATCCGCGGCCATGGTGGCATTGGCCCCGCCCCTTGTCGCGATGGTGCATCTCGAGGAAGAGTGTGAGGTCCTTGTCCCTCTCCATGATGACCCCCTCAACCGCCCTCTGCCATGCAGAAAGACCGTCCCCTCCACCGCCAACAACGAAGGCCCACAATCCCAGCCCTTAATAAGGGGGCCCACCCGGGAGACCCTCTACATAGCCCTGACAACGACCAAGTCAAAATCGAGCACTGAATCCAAATCAATGACCTGGATTGATTTTAAGCTCTTTCACCCTAGGGAGCTTAGTGATATAATAGTAGACGACCCCCCCCCCCTCCCACTCTAGAAAACCCTAGATTTGTTTTGAATGAATTGAAATCTCATCTAGATGTGGTTTAGCAAAAGTGAAAACCTAGTATAAAAACTTTGGATTATTTTTTTCTGAACGAGAAGGGACCACTCACAAAGGTTCCGTAGAAGACCCGAGGCAAAAATAAGTACAAATTGCCATATTCGCTACCACTCCAAAAGTTTCCCAACAAAATTACTAGTAGTACTAGACAGCAGCTAGTTTTATCTTTTTTTGTGTGTGTGGAGAGAACATCAAACAATTACGAACATCATTTGTCTGGGATCCGTGCGGTCAAAGGTCGGGCCATAGAGAATCGGGCAGACAAACGGCCCCCGTGGTTGCCCGTGCAGTATCGCCGTGCACCACAGCAGCACACCATCCAGCGTCACGTGCACCGCCAGCTTCACGCGCTCTCGTCGCCGGCGCTGGCCCTGCATGCGGTCGTACAGCTCGTCGGGCAGCCCCAGCCCCTCGCTGGTGGCAACGATGGGCACCGAGCCGATGACCTGCCCCGGCACGGTGAACTCGGCGAGGTCAGCGTGGGCGAGCGGCACGCCCGCGTACGCCCCCACGACGCGGCCCGGCCCCTTGAAGTGCCAGGGCTCGCTGCCTCGGTTGTGGACACGGAGGGTGATGTTGAAGGCGGGGCCCCGCGACGCGTGCCCCGGTCGAGCCCCTCGACAGCGGGCAGCTTCACCCAGAACTCGGGCAAGTATTCGGGCGGCTCCATGTTGTATATCGCGAAGCCGCAGACCAACAGCCACATAATCATCGCCAACACCCACGCGCGCCGTACGCATGGGTGCTCCTCTAGATTGCCGCCTTCTTGTGAGTAAATAGCATAAAACTACTACTTTACGGGTTAGGGTTTCAAAAAACTATCGGATTTATTTTTTTCGCTGATAACTACCAAGTCAGGGGTTGGCTGTTTCAAAAAACCCCAAATCCTCATTGTTAAAAAATTAAACATGTTTATGACAGGTCGGGCCCGCCAGTAAACGCACCGTTTGGTTGACCGTTTGTTTGACTGTTAACTGACTTGTGGGGGCCACATGTCAGCGCCTCATTCATAGATTTTTTACGGATTAGCTCTTACAAACATTTTGAAAAAGCAATCGGGTCCCTGGAATCAGCCTCCAAAGGGCTCTGCCCGTGGCCGTCGCCGCGCGCCATGGGGCTCCGCCCGCGGTCGCCGCGCGCGCCATGGGCGGCTTTGGTGCAGGCCGCCGCCCGGAGCAGTGGCTAGAGAAACGAAGGCTGGGGGATGGCCGGCGGCAGAGCTCACTGGCCCTGGCAGCGGAGGGCGCACGCGGTGGCAGCCATGGCTGCGACCAGCAGCTGCGCGAGCTCGGCGCGGAGACAGCCGGCGGCAGAGCTTGCCGGGCCTGGCAGTGGAGAGCGCACGCGGTGGAGGCCATGGCCGCGAGCAGCAGCTGCGCGAGCTCGGGCAAGACGGCCGGCGGCAGAGCTCGCCGGGCCTGGCAGCGGAGGGCGCACGCCGTGGAGGCCATGGCCACAAGCAGCAGTTGCGCGAGGTCGGGCGCAGAGATGGCCAGCGGCAGAGCTCGCCTCGCCGGGCCTGGCAGCGGAGGGCGCACGCGGCGGCGTCGATGGCCGCGAGCAGCAGATGCGCGAGCTCGGGCGCGGAGGCGGGGCACACGATGTGGAGGCGAGGAGAGGCAGAGGCGGGCGGTGGTGTGGCAGTAGGTGGCGAGGGCGGGCGCCGGCGCTGGAGGATCGCAGGATGTCGCCGGGCGCAGAGGTGGACGCCGGCCGCGAGGAGAGGAGCGGCTCCTTGATTGCTTTTTCAGAAAAATAGCAGGGACCCGATTGCTTTTTCAGAAATGTTTATAGGGGCTATTTTGTAAAAAGTGAGGACATATAAGATAGAGACACTGACATGTGGGCCCCACTTGTAACTTAACGGTCAACCTAACGGTCAAACAGACGGTTTGTTTAGGTGCGGGCCCGACCTGTCATAAACATGTCTAAATTTTAAGCAACGGTCATTTGGGGTTTTTTGAAACAGCCGACCGTCCATTTGGTAGTTATCTGAGAAAAATTTAAAACCGGTAATTTTTTGAAACCCTAGCCTGTAAAGTAGTAGTTTTATGTTATTTACTCCCGCCTTGTTCATCTTCCCTGTGGATGGCTCCCATGGATATTAGCGCTTATGATAGCTATCGTTGAAATTAGGGCTTATGATGCGCCGGACTTAGCTTTGGTAGGGTAAAGTAGATTTCCATATACTATATACTACCTCCGTCCTGGTTTATAGATCCCTTTTGTAGTTTGTGTCAAATTTTGATTAAAAATTTAACTAACAAAATGTTAATGCATGTCAAGAAAAATTATCTTATTGGATTCGTATTTGAACATAATTTTCAAAAATATAATGTTTGGTGACATGCGTGAACATTTTGTTAGTTTAATCTATGGTCAAAATTTGGCACGAAATACAATAGAGACCAATAAACCCGGACGGAGGTAGTAACTTACAGGGTCCTTGTTAGAATGTGAACGATAGCAGAATCACAAACAGTTAAAAATACATGTAGTAGCTCGGGAGAAGGATAAGGACTCGATCTCCCTAAGTTGGAACACGAAAAGGATCCAACGAACCACCAAGGCCTTTCTCCCATGTCTATTTGTTGTTGTTCCAAGGACGGACTCTGTCTTGACGATCGATCCGGCATACATATGGGTCAAGTCAGCGACGACCTAGAAGCCGGGACGGCAGCCAAACCCTACCGTCCTAGTGAGGGGACGTGTTGCGCCACGCTCGTATTTCTAGGATTTGTACTTATTTATGTCTTGTTGATGGTAGCACTGTCCATGGTCATGGACCGGGGAAACCCCTCCGTCTCCGTCCACCTCACGGGCTACGACGGCATCGACCCTGGCGGCGCCGGCCGTGTGGTCTCGCCGGCTTTCAACATCACGCTCCGTCTGAACGATACCTGCGTCGACCGCGCGGACATGGCCGTGATGTACTCCGGCGTCGCGCTCGGGTGGGCGCGCGTGGATCCGCGGGACTGCGCCAAGAGGCGATGGGCCAAGGACGTGGAGGTGGTGGCCCGGGGCGTTGGGGTGGGGCTGTCGCAGCGCCTCCGCGACCGCATGGCGTTGGAGTGGCGCGCAGGCGCGGTGGAGCTCGACGTCGACGTGACGACGTACAAGGAAGACCCACCCTGTACTGACACCGAGTTCCCCCAAGACATGATCGTGCACAAGGTAAGGATCATTCATGAGAAAGAAGAAGAACAAGCTACAACAATCGACGCCTCCTCGCAAATGTTCTGGCCCGCGTGATTATATGAAGCACCCGTAAAGTATGGTGTTTGTGTAGTATCTATCTCTTAGAGCATTACTAGTAGAGCCCTCAAACTCTCAAACCCCTAAAAATAACCGTTTTTTTACAGTTTTCGCCGAAATAACGCCGTAGACTAGAACCTCTAAACCCTCAAACCCGTAAAAAAATTTAGAGGTCCAACCCTCAAACCACTTTGCAATCTGTAGAAGTAGGGGTTGAGGGGAAAATCTCCCCCCAACCCGCACTCCTCCTCATCGCTCGGTCCTCGCTCGCGCGGGAGGCAACCGCTCCTCCTCCGCTCCCGCCGCCTCCCGCCGCCTCCCGCCGCGCCGGCCATGGAAGGCCCCGCCGCCGCCGTGCCCCCACCCGCC